CCGCCTCAGCCTAGACGAGGAAAAGATACGAACTGGTCACGTAAATCATATATCCATTAATTTCTGTTAGCAATTTGCCTATTTAGTGAGTAAAGGGAAACAGTCGATTAATACATTTCTTAAAGAGTAAAAAAGACCTTCCGCCTAAAATCCCCTCCCCTCCCGGTCTCTAAGGCCCTGTCTGGCCAAACACCATTTCTGCTAACAGTGGGCCAATGACCCTTATCAGTAGCCAGAGGATCTGAGTCACCAGTTTTGGGGCAATTATCGGGATTGGAGGGAGAGGGTCTTTTCTTTTCCCAAAGAAAAGAGGAAAGAAAAGTTAGCTAGGTTTACTAAAAAGATTAAGAACTCTGCAAGAGTCGTCCCATGTCATTTCCTGCTAAAAGATCAAGAATTTTACAAGTGGCGTCGCATATCGCGTATCGGTACTTCAGAGGGAGGCGGCGGGACTGTGCACCTGCCTCCCCACGTTCCGGTGGTTCTCACAGCCACCCACCCATGCTTAGGCTCCCGCGGGCAGCGCTGGCTGTGTAGCCGGGAGAGCCGCCTTCAAGCCTGGGCCCCTCATCTCCTCGCAGTGCGCTCAGCCTCTCTGAACCTCAGCGCTCCTCATCTGTTTATTTTCCAGTTTTATTGAAGATACATCGCTGTACGTTCAAGGCACAGAGCATGATGGTTTGATTTATAGGTGTTGTGGAATGATGGCCACAGGGGATTCAGCTGACCTCTGCCTCTCATGCAGACGCAATAAAGAGAGAAAGAAGGAAAAACCTTTTCTCCTTGTGATGAGAACCCTTAGGGTCCCTCTCTCGCCAGCTTCCCAGCATTTCCCGCCTGGCAGTGGGAGCTGCGGCTCTGCCCTAGGGCCGGCCTCTCTTCTGCCTGGAAGTTGGTGTCTCCGACCACCTTCCCCTTCCCCCAATCCCTCTCCCCACTCCCCCGCCTCTGGTAACCACAGGTCTGGTCTCTTTTTCTATGAGTTTGGCTTTTTCTTTTCTTTTCTAGATTTCACATACAATTGAAGTCATGGTATTTTTGTCTGTCTGGCTTATTTCACTTAGCATTGTGCCTTCACGCTCCATCCATGTTGCTGCAGATGCCAGGATTTCCTCATTTTTATGGCCGAGTAGCATCCCAGTGTATACATCGACCCGTCGTCTTTGTCCACTCACCCACCGATGGGCACTGAGTTCCAGCGTCTTGGCTACTGTAAATAATGCCACCATGGGCATGGGGGTGCAGACTCTGTTTCAACTTAGTGTTTTTTTTTCCTTTGAATAAATACCCAGAAGTGGAATAGCTGGGTCATAAGGTGGTTCTAATTTTGAATTTTCTGCGGAACCCCCGAACTGTTTTCCACGGCGGCTGCGCCAGCTTGCAGTCCCACCGGCAGTGCGCGAGGGCTCCCTTCTCCACGTCCTCGCCGGCGCTTGCTTGTTGTCTTGACAACGGCCATTCCCTCCCAGCAGCTGTGAGGTGCTAGCTCATCCTGGTTTTGCTTTGCATCTCCCTGACGACTAGGACATCTTCTGTGTCCGTTGTCCTTTGGGGAAATGTCTGCCCGGGCGCTCAGCTGACTGTGATTGGTCTGTTCGCTTTTCTGCTGTTGATGGATCTGCGGGATGGACGGATGCCTGCTGCACAGGGCCGTTGAGAGGGTCCCGGGGAGTTGCTTATGCGATTTGCAGTTTAAGTAGCAGGGGTTGAACCTCCTTGTCCCCTTTCTTCCTCCTTCCGGCCGGGCGTTCATTTTCTCTTGTTAAGCACAGTGGGATATTCTGTCCTCGGCAGAGCAGACGGTGGGCTAAGGTGGAGATGAGTTGGGAGCGCCTGGGTGCTGGCCGGCACAGGGGCCTCCCTGCCGAGCGGGCCTCCCTGCTCAGCGGGCTGGCGGGCATGGCGGGCGGCCGTGTGGATCCGGTCGGCCCAGAGCACTGGCACTCGCCACTTGGCACCTGCCATCGAATTAGTGGGTTTTCTCTTCTTGGGCCAAGTTAAATCCCCCTTTAGTGTTTGTCACAGATCGCGGGTCGTGCTCCGCAGTGCCGTGCGTAGGGATTCTCCTTTACCATTTCTCGTTTGTTATCTGTTTAATGCCGTGAGGGACTTGACAGGAATTTGAGGACTTGGAGAGGGAAGGGAAGGTGTCCCATTGAGTTGCATCTAGCGTGTGCAGTTTTGACCCTGACTTTGGGAGTGCGGTGGGTGTGGCCTGGGACAGAGGACGCCTGTCCTGCCGGGTCCCTTCGCCTGAGTCATTATTAATAAATGGGCCCAAAAACTGGGAAGCGAGTCAGACCAGACCTCCCTTATAAGTCTTTCTCTTCATTTTAGAACAAAAATATTTTGGGGGAAAATTTTATTTTTTATCAAATTTACATTTCTTATCCTGGATTGTAGCATTTACCGCCTTATTACTTTAAGGGATGAATGCTGTTTTTTGGGTTTATTGGAAAATCTCGTACGTGTTTTCCAGCAGCGTGAGCCAGGCTCGGATTTCTGTAGTGTTCTCAAGGTGAGTCGTTCACCTCTGAAACCACAGCTCAGCGAACATTGCAGGCCCTAGATGCAGCGTTTCTGTTCTTGAAGGGTGAGGTTCTAAAGTGGCCTTGACCTTGCAGGTGTGTTCCAGAGAGCGCTGAGTAGCTGCTGGTGTGCACGCCCCTCCAGGCGGCTCGGGAAGCCACCAGACACTCAAGTTTGAGACGAGATCAAATTTAATCAAATTCATCATCTCAGGCTTAGGTGTTTTAGTGAAGTATTCTGCTCTTGTAGAAATGGCGGGGTGGGGTAGTTCAGGCGGTAACTCACTCATGTAAATGTTTTCTGTGCGACACCCGACTTTTGCTCCTATTTCTAGGGTGAACGTGGACTTCCAGAAGCAGACAGTGGACCCCGTGCAGGTGTCACTGAGCACGCTCCACAGGTCGCGGGCGGTCACGGAGCTCCTACTGACGGTCGATGTTACAGAGGTAAGAGTCATTGGAGGGTCCCCTCCCCCACCTGATCTGGAAGTGTCACGTGTGCGTGACTTAAAACACGTGTGCGCCCACAGTCTGCACACTCAGCGACCTGCCGAGTGGTGAGCTTGAATTACTGTACTTGTTAAAGAGAATGTGGCTGGAACCCAAAATGAAACACAGATATTCATTCCAGAATCAGAGTTCGATTTTTAAGATGTTAAGAATGTCTAAAATGCTAAAAATCAGTTTTAGCCATAGGATACGTGTAAAAATCTTTATCAGTATAGTGATAGATGCCTGTGTAGTTTGGTTTATAACAACAAAACCGTCATTGGCACTGTTCTCTAGGGTATGAACAAAATAAAATTCCATCTGTGATGCACCAGCGCTTTCTGGTAAACCCACCTTCTGCCAGGAGACGTCCTGTGGGAACCTGGGAACTGCTGGGGCCTCGCAGTTGTGGGACCTAGGGTCTCGTGGCCCCAGCGCAGTGTGTGGGGCTGCTCAGTAGGCTGGCTCTTGGTGGCACGCCCACTCTCCACTTACCACTGCTCTTCCTGCCCCGGCCCTGGGAGGGCGCCCGCAGGCTCCTCGGTGGGGCAGAGGGAAGGTAAAGCAGCCTGCTCTGCAGGCCCCCAGAGGTGGCTTGCCCTGGACTGTGCCAGCACCCCGCACCCCCGAGAGGGGGTCCACAGTGTGCTCACCTCAGTCGGCCACAGAGTCCCTTCTCTCTCATTCGCTGTCAACGTTTGTGGATGCCTCGGTACCCAGGACCCAGTTCGTGGCCGGGAGAGCGTGTTGGCCCTGTGCTCTGAGCTCACGTTCTTTGTGGACATCCTTTCTGGGTGTCATCTCTGCTTCTGTCCATTCTGTTTCAGGTGGTTGAAGCGGGGCACTTTTGGGGATACAGGATTGACGAAAAAAACTCAGAGATCCTGAAAAAGCTTACTGCTGAGATAAACCGCCTGAAATTGGTGCCCTTGCCTGTTCACCCGCATCCGGACTTGGTCTGTCTGGCTCCTTTTGCGGATTTTGATAAACAAAGCTATTTCAGAGCTCAAATCCTTTATGTTTCTGGGAATTCGGCTGAGGTACGTTTTTCTGTAACATCACTCAAAGGGAAATGAGCAAACTTAACAGCAGTTTGTAGAAAATCTCTAAGTTAGCGGAAATCAAATAGAGAAGTTAGAAAGGTGCTCTAGTAGAAAAGTTCTTTCCCACAGCAATATGGGTTGACACTCAGGACACAGAGCTGCCATGACGGGCTTGGGGCGGGACAGTGCCAGGCTTGGGGCGGGACAGTGCTCGGCTAATGTGTGCCGCTTTGTTCTCTAGGTGTTTTTTGTGGACTATGGTAACAGATCTCACGTGGATCTTGATCTTTTAATGGAGATTCCCTGTCAGTTTCTCGAACTTCCGTTTCAGGTACGGCAGACGGGCCCCGGAGGTGTGGGTCTTCACGCTGGGAGGATCCCGGAGGCCAGATGGGGCCCCAGAGCGGGAAGACGTGTTCTGTCACACTTGCCAAATTTGGTTTCTGCTTTTTTTCCAAAAGTATTTGCCATAGATATTTTTGCCAATATTATTTTTGGAGTGAGTTAAAATATATGGAGGATTTCATGCTTAGCAAAAAAAAAAAAAAAAAGTTTTAATTCAGCATTATTCTCTAAGGTTTCTGGTTATGTTGAAAGCAGACAAAATTTAGGTGCGCTGGAGACAGACCCACACATACCCCTTCTGTCAGTGTGGGGACAGTTGGTTATTCCAGACTTTCACTGTTGTTGAAAAAGCAGAAGCCAGTGTCCTTACTTGTGGAATCGTCACTCAGCCCAGAATTGTTTTTTCTTTGTTTTTTACAATAAGGACAGCTCTTAATTCAGTTCGATCCTGCCGTTTTCTCTAAAATCAAGAAAAGTTTGTTAAATGAATCAAATCTCATTTTCTTATACTGAAAATGTTTTCTTATTTCTCTCCAAATACCTAATGCGTTTTTGTTTAGTTTTCCATCCTACGTAGACGTTACACCATTTTTTCAGGTACACTTGACATTCAGTATTATGTTAGTTTCAGGCGCACAGCACGTTTATATAATTTATGAAGTCCCCCGATAAGCTTCGTGTCCACCTGGCACCGCACGTGGCTGTCACGGTAGTGTCGACTGTATTCCCTGTGCTGCCCTTTACAGCCTGTGACTGTTTTGTAACTGCCGTTTCTTCTTCTCCATCCCTTCCCCTTTCTCACCCGGCCCCCGCCCCGCTCCGTCTGGCCGCCATCGCTTTGCCCTCTGTTATGTACGAGCCTGTTTGTTTCGTTCGTTTATTTTTTAGATTCCACGTATAGGTGAAATCACACGGTTTTGGTTTTTGTCTGACTTACTGCCGGGTGCATGCCTGCCGTCGCAGGCAGAGTTGGCTTTGCAGGTTTTCCAAGGGCACTGGTGGGGTCCGTGGATGGGCGCTCCTCGGTGCTGTGGGGCTGAGTGTTCGCCCTTCCCTTCTGTCGTAGGCCCTGGAGTTTAAGATCTGCAAGATGCGCCCGTCGGCCAGGTCCCTGGTGTGCGGCGAGCACTGGAGCGGCGGGGCCAGCCGGCGCTTCGCTGCCCTGGTGAGCGGCTGCGCGCTGCTCGTGAAGGTCTTCTCCGTCGTGCACAGCGTCCTGCACGTGGACGTGTACCGCTGCTCCGGCGTCCAGGACCTCCTCAGCGTGAGGGACGTCCTCATCGACGAGGGCTACGCCGAGCTGGCCGACGAGTGCTACGAGTCCAAGGTGCGCTGTCCCTGTCGCGGGCCAGCGGGCGCGTGCCCGCGTCCTTCTCCCGTGTTTGGTGTCCCTCGGTGTCCCCGTGTTAAGATCAGTGGTGCCATCTTAACTTTCTTTGAGGTTTCTTGGAGACTGACTGTGGGAGCTGATGTTTTGCTCGTTTCCTGTTGTCAGACTATTTTTTTTTCTTCTTAGAATAAAAATTAAATGTGAAAACGTTTTTTCTTTGGGGAGGTTTTCAAAAATGGATTCCAAGGTTTACTTCCCCAATGAAAGTAGTTAATAAATATTTCTTTCAAGTATTTCAGACATTTCAGATGCCTTTGAATTATTACTTTCAAAATCAGTTCCAAAGTTATTTTTCTCGGTCCGAGGTTTCAGAGATGCCATTTCAAGGCTGCTGCCGAAGGCCAGAGATGTTCCTTCTGTTGTTTCTGCTGGGGGTGATGGGGGTGAGGGGTTGGGGAGCGGACAGACGTTAGCGGAGAGCTGACTGAATTTTGTATTCCCGGTACTTCTGGTAACATCCCCATATGAAGCTGAAATTTTGTGTACAGAAAGTTCCTTTAAAAAACATTTTTCTTTTTTTTTAAATTATTTTTATGATGACATTGATTAACAAAATCCAATAACTTTCAGCTGTGCGTTTTAGCAGTTAGGCACATAAATATTTACACTGTGCGTTCACCTCCCATAGTTAGATTTCTTTTTTGTCACCACGTATTTGACCCCCTTTACCTCGTCCACCTCCCTGCTGAAAAACGTTTTCACTCTCTCAGTTCTCTCGATGCTTGAAAGATAGCGACGGCGAACGAGTTGAGCTTCTAATGAGTCGTGTCTTATTTCTTTTGTTTGAATTTAAAATGTACTTGATAAAATTATCTCCTGGCACCGTGATAACCTAGCGATCAGCTAATTTCATGCCTCTGAAATACTTTGATTAGTTTAGAATAAAGAGCTTTTGTTCCAGTTTTTCCTTTAGCAAAATGAACTTTTCTCGTTTTGTTCAGCAAAGCCATGAAGTTCTCAAGGGTCTCTTTTCCAAATCAGTTGAAAATGTGACAGACATGTCTGTGGCGTCACCCGGGAAAGATGAGGAGAAACACCTGATCCGCATTCTGTTGGACGGCTTCTCTTCCCGGAAGTTCGGGGCCCCAAACTGCAAGGTAGCCCGGCGCCCCACTCACTCCGCAGTGGGGGCCTGCGGCGGTCCACACTGGGGGCCTGGGTCAATGAGAGCAGAACCTGGGCCCAGTGTAGAGAGGAGCTTGGATCTGTCCCCGCTTTAGACCACCCTTTCCGAAGGTGATCTGGGCCTGCTTATCACAGGCGGGGAGCAGCGTGTGGGCTTTTGGGGAGTAGCTCATGGTCTGATTTCCTCCTACTCGGGGAGGAGGGCACATCCCCTCCCTGTCTGGGACTCTGCTCCTCCTGTGCCTGTGGCTGTGTGGCCTGGGGCCCGCCCAGGGGGACTGACCCGGTGCTTATGCTTCCTTTGGGGCCAAGGCTTTGTTAGGTGTTTATAGTGGGGGACGTTAGTGAAACCGTTGGAGGAATCAGTTGCATCCCAGTAAAATATCTTCTTTAAGATGTTTTTTCCCCACTGAATCTTGAAGATGTTGTGGTAAAGATGTGCTGTTATCTTTTTTTTAAATAGGAGTTGACAGCTGGATTTTTAAAATGTACACGAAGTGATGATGCTATGCTTCTAGGTGACGTTTTGTATGTTTTGTGTATCCAGGTCATTCTCCACGGGCCTTTCAACCCTTACGAACTGAAGTGTCACAGTTTGACCAGAATATCCAAGTTCAGGTATGAGTCACTTAAGTCGCACATGAGACTTTTTTTCCCCACTGCTCCTGTGGTTACAGACCCGTCGAAAAGGGACCCCCTTTGTCCGGAACTGGGGGGCTGCCTCGTCTCTTTCAACCCCTCTAACCTCTGAGCTCCAGATCTCAGGCCCTCTTTTTGTCACGTGAAAGCCAGTCTATAGGACAGTTTTGAGTATCTTTCATCAAAGACTTTGTTTTGTTTCTGTTCTTATTGCAAATCTGTGAGTGCCTGCTGTGTTCTGGGAACATCAGAGTTTGGGGGGAACGATAGTAGACAAAATATGGCCAGTGTACTCCCCAAAATGACGGTTCAGTGTGGGGTACGCAAGAGAAAAGTGGCGATTACAGGGTCCACTCCCGAACACCTCCACGGGGCTACAGAGTGTGACGGAAGCGGGAGTCGGGAGGGCCTGATGCCTGAGGCCGTCCAGGCAGGTCTGAGGCCTGAGGGTGCACAGCTGTTGGCCAGGTGGGGGAGGCGAAGGCTGGAAGAGATGGTTCTGTTGGCAGGTGTGGGGTCTTCGTTTGGGAGTGTCACTGCTGGTGAGGGGAGTGGGGCTGGGGGTCAGTGGGCGTGGCGGGCCTGCAGGGCCTGTGGCGATAGAGGGGGGCCATGCTGTGCGCATTTTACGGTGGCCGCTCTGCAGGGTGGGCAGAGGTGAACCCTGGTGTCCCAGCTAGCTCTGGGACCAGCAGCTCAGTGTCCCCCCGGAACTGGTTAGAGGTGCTGACGGGAGCCCGCATTTTCTCGAGACTGCGCACGTGCACGGGTGGAGCCTGAGGGTGCGCTGCCCTGGGCGGTGGGCGCGTCCCTGGGAAGGAGCACAAGTCAGAGGCTGGGCGCATTGCAGCGCGCGGTGGGGACGTTGTGGGGTGCATGGAGTCCACTGCCCAGAGCTTGGCATGTGCAACCAGCGGGCGAGGCCGCAGCAGGGCCTCTGCTGGGGCAGCCAGGTGGTGGGTGGGAGGCTGGAGCGCAGGGCAGAGACAGGATAGAGGCAGGCAGAGGCAGAGACTTGGGCATTGTCAGCATGCGGGTGGCACTGGAAGCTGGGGGGTGGTCGGGGGCATGTGAGGGGGTGGAAGGGAGAAGAGGGTGGCGGCCTAGCTCCAGGACTTGGGGTGAAATGGCAGCGGCCCAGCAGGAAAAGAGGTGCTGAGGAGCGTGGGCTCTGCGTGTTCCCCGTCGGTCGCTGTGTGTGTGTGTGTGTGTGTGTGTGTGTGTGTGTGTGTGTGTGTGTGAGATCATGTCTTTGAAACGTGTCAGGCACGGGGGGGGCATCACCCGCTGCCTCGGTGGTCACCAGCGGCTTTCTCGGACGCCCCTGTGCAGATGCGTTTGGATCGAGAAGGAGAGCATCAACTCCGTCATCATCAGTGACAGCCCCGAGGACCTCCACCAGAGGATGCTGGTGGCAGCTTCCCTTTCGGTCAACGCCACGGGTGAGTGGAGGGCTCTGTTCATCCACAGTGTCACTCCTCTCTCCCCCTGACTTCAGCCCCTGGGGACAGGGATCCTGTCATTAATGAACTAACGTAAGTGTCCCTGCCCCATCTTCTGACCGGTTCCTAGGTGATGGGCTGATGCAAGTGTAACAAAGGGCGCCCCCTCCCCTCGCCTCCCCTCCCCGTGAACAGCTAGTCATGCCCTTGACTTTTCACTCACCCCACTGCGCTTGGCTGCAAAGGGACACATCCTTGTCTGTCCTTGGCCGACAGCCCTGTAGTCCAGTGAGGAGGCACAGGAGGGAAGGCGACCAAGCACAGGAGTCCCCAGATGGCTGGGGGGTAATGTCCGATGAGGTGCCTGTCTGTGGGGTGCTGTAGGAACAGCAGTCAGGGAGTGCCTTGCTGTTGGGGCATCTGTGGGGACAGACTCAGCAGAGGGCTGCCTGGGGGCGAGGGGGGTTTGCCAGGAGGGAGCGCCATCCGCAGGGCGGTGCCCAACATGGCCTTCCTCGGCCTGCTCGCAGGGTCTACCATGCTGCTGCGAGAGACCTCCCTGATGCCGCCCGTGCCCGGCCTCCCGGCCCTCCTGAGCATGCTGTTTGCGCCGGTGATGGAGCTAAGGTGCGTGCGGCCATCTGCTCTGTCCGTAGCTTTTGTAAAACGGGAACCGAGTGGTAGAGACAGGCACTGCCTTCTTCTGGAGAGAAAGCAGGTACAGGAAACCTGGCCGCGGCACACTGGGCTGCTGGCCCTTCCCTGTGCCTCGCTGTGAAGAAAGAAGCCTTGTTGCTGCGGAGGCGTCTGTGCAGGTGTGCGGTATGACTTCAGCAAGAAGCTCGAGGAGCTGATCAGACACAGGCCGTGTCGCAGAGGAGCTTGAGCTGACGTGGGCCAGGCTCAAAGAATGGAGCCAGGGGAAGGCTCACGTCCGGATGGGGCTTTCTCGCCGTCGTTAACGGGCTGCATGTGTGGGGACCTTGTCGTGCTCTTAGGATGGTCACCGTGACTGAGATGACAGATTGTCGCCCTTTTTGGTGCCAAGATCAAACAGCGGTTCTCCCAGGGACTTCAGGGAAGGGACCTGTGGCCCTGAGCCGAGCCCTTGAAGGCACGCCCACAGTGGGCCCCACCTGGTGCGGGTCTGCTCTGAGCAGCAGCTGCCTTTGCCCGGCAGAGGGGCAGGGGTGGGAGAGAGACCCCGTGGGTCTGGAGGAGCCATATGGCGGGGAGGCGAGGTGGAGGTGGCTGCAGCAGGTGCTCATGGGGCCTCATGCAAGGGGTGTTCGGGTTTGAGTCCCCTCTGTCTTCTGGCCCATTTTTTCTGGTCGCCGGGTGGGGTACCTGGGTGGCCTCGGTTGGTCGAGTTTGGTCCAGGTAGCTGAGAGCACCCTGCTGTCGGCTTAGTCCTCTCTGCCAGGAGCCTGTGCAGAATCTGCTGTGCAATCTCAAATGTTTAGTCCCTTTTTCCGTTTTAAAAATAATCGTGTATGTTTTTTTCTTTCTAGAAATCTATAGTACTTAGGAAAACTTGAGGAAAAATCGACATTTTTTTAAACTTTTAGTGAATTTCAGTATTTTTATATATTTTATTTTGTTTTTAGATTTTTGGCATGCTATATCATTTTTACATATTAAGCGTTTTCATAGTATTGTGACATCTTTGTAACTATCTGTTTTAAAAATTGCATCATGTACTACTGAGTGGGCATATAAGGGCTTTTCTAGACCCTGCCCTGTTTTATTTGCATGCATTTGTTTCTAACCTACCCCTGTCCCCAGAGGACTTACTATGCCTTTGGATGTGGGACCTTGGCTTCTCTCTAATTTGCAGCAGCGATGTGCTAAATATCTCCACGAACAAAGGCATCTTCTGAGCCCTCGTAGGGGAGGCACGCACGTGAACACAGTGCCCTGCGTGTGGGTGTCTGGTGAGACAGCAGCAGACCGAGCGGCAGTGGCCGTGACTTCGCAAGCACGCTCTCTTGTCGTTGCTTCCGATGCTCTTTTTGCCTCTTGAACGAGACCCAGCTCCTGCTTTGACTCCTTCCTTTTAAATAGAAGCTTTTGGAGGATGTGGGTGAGGCAGTGTATTACTGAAGTCTCCAACGTGCAAGCGGTTTTGTTGAAGACAGTCAAGAAATACTAAAATAATTAGTACTTAAAATACCATCTTTCTAGAAAAAGAGTAAGGTCAACGTGAGGTTATGCGTGAGTAGTATATGGTGTTTTGACATAGCCGATGCTCAGTGCTCATTTTGTTGAGTTTAGTGCGGTGAGCCGGATTGGGACAGTTTATGTGACAGCACCAGTAAGACGCGTTGACTTGGTGTCCAGAGGCTCGGCTAGGTGGTCACGAGGAAGGGGAGGTGGGCCTGGAGGGTCCTCATCCGCAGTCCGCTCCGGCCGGTCCTGTGCGGTTCTCGTTACCTCGCTGAGTCAGGAGCAGCCACTTTGAGCGACTTGGGAAGATGAAGCGCTGTTCGCCTGGGGCGAGCACCTTCCTCCCCGGCAGACGCTCAGTCTGCTGGGGCCGACGGTGCAGACCTGGCGGTGGGGGGGGGGGGGCCCCTGGCCAAGGTGTGTCCCAGGGAGGAGTCCCCTGGCCGAGGTGTGTCCCAGGGAGGAGTTGTCCTCCCGAGCCTGCAGCCTCGCTCATCAGTGACCCGCCTTTCCGGGGCCCACCTGCAGGGGAGCGCGCATCCTGCCTGGCTGAGCCCCAGATGACGCAGGCCCGGGCCACAGTCAGAAACCAAGCCTGCGTCCTCTGGGTCAGTGGAGGCAGTTCTTCCCTAGGTTTGTCACCGTCCTGTCACAATTGCGGCAACTAGACTGAAAAGAGGTCTCTTGCCACCTCCAGCTTACGCTTCCTGCAGTGGTGGGAGGAAAGGGATGTGAATGAGAGTAAGTTTTACATTTCGTTTCTGTTAATAAAGGAGCGGGGGTCCGCGTCACCCCCCACTAGCCCCAGAGGACGACGGAGCAGAGGCCGCTGTCCCCGGTCTCGCCCCTGGTCAGGGCTGACCGGGCTGCCGCCCACGAGTCCTCGCTCTGCCTGCGGCGCCCCTTCGCTTTCAGCTGTCCCCGGAGAGCAGGGCGCCTCCGCAGCTCTGCCTGTCGGCTGCAGGCGAGCGTGTTCCTCCCTCTCTGTCTGGGCCGCGCGTGCTCCGCCTTTCGTGCTGGCCCCTCCGCACGGTGTCTTCCTGGTGAATGGGAGCCGGCTGTGGTGCTGCTTCTGATCGGTGGCCTCAGCCTTCAGTGCCTGCTGGGCGGTTCTCCCCTGGGCAAGTGGGTACTCGAAGCAGCCCGGCGCCCCCACGATGGGCGGTGAGAACGTGAGCGCAGGTGTTCGGCATAGGGCCGAGACGCTGCCCTTCGGCCCCTCCGTGGTTCCTGGAGCTGGACATCGGGCTGCTGGGCGTGGGGTTGGGATGCGAAGCCACGTGTGTAGGGCAGCGCCCCGAGCAGGCCGCGCGTGAGGCGAGACCTTTCAAAACCACAAAACGTGCTGCCAGGTAAAATTTAAAAGTGAAGTGAGAGGCCTGGCAGAGGATTTCCACTTTCTCCTGTTTGTTTCTGTCCTCGGCGCTGCATAACGGTTACCCACAGCCACCCTTTTTTTATGCCATGGATGACAGTTCAGATGGGGCCATGAGGGACAAAGCGTGCGGGTCCCCAGATGGAACGCTTGGAAGCCTGGGCGCTGGTCCTGGCTGGAGGCCTCCCCACGTGGTCTCCGCGTGGGCCAGTGTGGGCTTCTCAGCCCTGGTGGCTGGGTGCCAAAGTCGGTGTCCTGAAAGAGCCAGCTGGAAGCTGTGGCACCTTTTGTGACCGGCCGCACAGGTTGTGCATCGTGAGACGTGCTGCGGTCGCAGGCCCTCCCAGGCTTGAGGTGCAGGCTTGTAGGCCCCGCTCGTCACTGTCAAGCGTCAGCCTTCCAGCGGCTGAGGAGTGTGTTGGATGGGGCTACTGCTGTCGCATCTCTGGAGTCTGCCACCTCCTCCCTCTGTGCTGAGACACCTCGAATGCTACAATGTATCCGCTGGCTCTGCAGTTGGAAACAGTCTTCATCTATACTCCACGTTTTTAAAAAAGCCTTAGAAAACAGGAAAATAAAGCAGTAGTGCTTTTCAGTGTCAGAAGTGCGAGGGAGTGAGGATGTTCGAGAAGGGACCCTCAGGTCTGGTGGGAAGGCTGTGGTGGCCGCCTCCTGGGCCTGCCCCCGGCCCCTCAGGCTCCCCCACTGTGGGGAGGGGCCATCTTGATCTCACGGGGTTGTGGAGTGTGGATGGATTCAGTGAGTCAGTGAGGGATGGCATGCCGTCTGGCATGCTGTGTGGCATCTGACGCGGGGGAGTGGTGGCAGGTGGCAGCGCCCTTGTCCTGGCGAGCAGAGCAGGGTGCATTGTAGACGTTGAGCAGGGCTTGGAGGGCTCGCAGGCTTCCGACAGCGTCGCAGGATGACACCTGCACACCACAGGACGCCTGACGGCTTGCTTATAGGGGACTTTCAGCTTGACCAACATCTAACTTTTCAGGAAATAGATTTCCTTATTTGGGTCATACAGAGAGTTCTAGGATATCATCTTGGAATAGAAATTTTTCTATCGTTTTTATTTTAAACACGATGGTTCAGAGTAGTTAGCCCTTTGAACACAGTGTCGTCAGCTGATACCAGCTCCAGGTCCTGTGTGTAAGTTGTTTCAGAGTGAATTGTCTAGGGCAGGGGTCCCCACCCCGGGGCTGCAGACTGGTTCTGGGCCGCACAGCAGGAGGTGAGCAGCGAAGCTTCATCTGCATTTGTAGCCGCTCCCCAGCGCTGGCATCACTGCCTCGGCTCATCAGGCATTAGATTCTCATAGGAGCACCGGTCCCTGGGGCCACAAGGGTTGGGGACCACTTCTTTCCAGTGCGCCCTTACTGGTCTCTATGAGATATGCTTGCTTTTGTTCTTATCACGGTTTCTGCAGTTTTCAGTATGAGTGTGGAAGATGCATTAAACAGGAAGTGAAAGCATTCCTGTGGTTGTTAGGCCTGTTTTCTGGGTTCCCGTAAGTGTTCAGGGTCCCTAGAAAAGAGGGAAACCCCACGCTTTGGTTGCTTTCGTTGATGTAAGGTTAGAGCAGGAGAGCGAGGAATTGCTCCCCTAGTGTGGGTCGTTTCTGGGCTGGGCCTGTTAGGACGGTCCTTGTTGATGAACACGTGTCATCAAGTGTGAGCAGTCAGTCAGCTTAAGTCTCCTGGCAGTTGTCAGTCAGGTGGCGGTCATGTGATGTCTTAGGAACACTGACAAAGTTACCAGGGGTGACTTGGTGACCCCTGGATGTTACTTCTGTTTTGGAAAGGTTTTATGTAACTTGAAGTAATGATAAATTATAGTCTATTAAAAATAGTGTAGGGGAGCTTGCTGTTAAACAGTTTTGGTGACTGCTTTGCAAAGGAAATACTTAGCATCTAATTTATGTCTGACTTCTGGGTCTCTTTTTTGAGTTCACGTCCACTGGGATTCTTTTCCATTTTCATTAAAGGGGAAAAGAAGTATGTGTTTGTGTGTTGTTATATACGTTTTCATGGCTAAAAAGAAAACTTTTTGCCTAGACTCTTTCATCAAAACTTTATTGATCTAGATGATATGAAAAGGTCTGAGTTGATTCAGAATCAAAGAAAATTAGCAGAATATTTTCAAAATTCAGTATAGTGTCTTCACTTATTTTATAAAGTATTTATTGAACCCATCATGGGCTATAGCACTGACGTTTAAATTAACACCCAAACACAAGAAAGAGCCTGGCGGGCCGAGGGCTCCGGGACCTGCGGGGGAAGCCAGAGCAGCTGGACCCAGCCAGCAGCGGGAAGGCCGTGGGGGTCCAAGCGAGGGCCGGGCTGTGCTGCGGCACAGAGGCCCTGGAGTTCGGATGCGGGAGGGGCCGCTGGGGGTCCAAGGCCTGGCAGTGACACATCGCTGCTGGGAAGTGGGTTGGAGGAAGCAGGAGCTGGGGGAATGGGTCCGTGATCGCGTGAGGCTAGCTGAGACGCGGCAGTGGCTTGGGCCAGGCCATGGCGGTAGCGACGGAGAAGACAGACAGATTCCTGAAAACTCGGAGAGACGGAAACCACCGGGTGCGCCAGCGGCGGGTTTGGGGTGAAATGGGGACGTGACGCTTTGTATGAGAAGTGTGTACGATGGTTCTGGGGCGGGGAGGTGGGACCGACGTCTGTAGCTTTTAGGAAGTGCTAGACTTCTTTCACGAGTCATAGATGTGTGTGTAACCTTTTCTCCAGAAAGCTCACTAAGAACTTAACCCGTGGAGAGGATTCAGAGGTAGGGAAAAACTGTATATGATAGAAATATTTCTTATATTATCTTTTTCGTCATCGTGAGAATTACAACTAAACAATGGGTTAACAGAAAACATTTATTTATGACTATATAACGTAAAAACGGAAAGAAAATGCATAAACGAAATTAGTCTCTGGACTAGGTGGGGTTGGCAGAACCTAAGGTGGACTTATTGGTGGGTTAACGTCAAAGTAGCGGCTGACCAATTTTGAAATATTAATTAACTCTTTTCAAAACTTCTCCTTTAGGGTCGATCGGGCTGGGAAATCCTACACTGGGGTCCTTTGTGGCTTGGGGTGGAACCCAACCACAGGGGCCCCCATTCTGCCAGAGCACGACATCGAGCTAGCGTTTGACGTTCAGTTCAGCGTGGAGGACATCGTAGAGGTGAGGCCGCTGCCCTCTCTGGCTCCACTCGGACACCCCGTTAACAGTGAGCGCGGCACCTGACACGGCGCTTTAAAGCCAGGTGTAGCCCTGGGCCTGGAGATGCTCGGCGTCCCTTAACCCGCCTGTTTCACTGACCGGTGCAGCGCAGCTTCCTGGGAGAGACGATGCTCCCCGCGGCTCTCCGCGGCTCCAGGCACAGCTTTTCCAGGCCATGGATTAGCCCCAGGCAACAGGCCTGCTGTGAATCTCTGTCCGGGGTCACCCCGTCAGGCCTCGCAGGACAGACAGCCTTGCTTGTTCTCGTCACGGGGCAAGGAGATGCATCCTGCCCGCCCCGTCCCTCTCCGGGCGTGAGTGGGCTCAGCGAGCCGAGCCGACGCTGGTGTGCACAGCTCTGCAGCAGGGCTGCCTGTCCTGGCCCGGGGCCGGGTGCAGACGCTGAGGCCGAGTGTTCAGACCGTGGGGCAGGCTGAGGAAGTCCCGTCGCAGCTGTTGGATCGAGCGAGAAGTTGGGGCTTATGTTTTGTGTGCTTCTGTTTCCACATCTCACTGTTCTAGTAGTTCGGTTTTACTGCTTTTTACAAAGAGGAAAGCTGGTCCTTCCCTCAGATAGCCTGGGAAGCGCTGCCCGAGCCCTCGAGGCCCGTGGAGCGGGCGAGGCTGGCTTCACCGCACGGAGGCGGGAGGGGAGGTGCGAAGTGGGCTCACAAGCTTGTCCTGGCCCAGTGGGCACACGTGAGGTCCTCTGTGCCTGTGTTGTCGATTGCACATAGCCGCTCTGCCACATAAAGGGACTTTCTGGCTTAAAAATATTCCTCTGATCGCAGACCTAATTTTAAGGTGTAGAACTACACAACTTATACAAGTTAACGTAGGAGAAAGCCTGTGTGACCTTGGATTCGGCAGTGACCTTGTGGATGCAAGGCCAAAAGCATGATCTACGAAAAACGTTGATAAGGTGGATGTTGTTAAAATTAAAAACTTCTGCTCTGCGAAAGACCCTGTGAAGAGGATGGAAAGACAAGCTGTACACCAGGAGGAAATGTTTGCAAACCGTTGTCTGATACAGGACTTTCGTCCATGATACATAAAGGGCTTTTAAAACTCAGTGACATAACAAGCAACTGAACTAAAATGTGGACGGCAATGAACGGGTGAAGAGCTGTTCAGCACCTGCGTCATTAGGAAGATGCGAATTGTGACCAAAGTGACATACCTCTGTACTATGTCAGAAACCAGTGGTGACCGCCACGGTGGGGACATGGAACACCAGGAGCGCTATTCATGGCTGGGAGTGCCGAATGGACGGCCCTTTGGAAGGCCACGTTCTTAAAGACAAGTGTGTTAGACACATCTGCGCAGGGCCCAGCGGCCCCACCGAACTGTCTGTCCAAGAGATTTAGGAGCTGACGGGCACCTAAAACCTATATGGATGAGGCCTGCAGCGTTCCTAGCTCACAGTCACTGAAAACCGGAAGCAGTCGGCTGTCCTCCTTGGGAGGGGATACGCAAACTGGCCGACAATGGGGCCTCTTCAGGAGCAGCTGGGTCTCAAAGGCACGGACAGAAGCCAGGCCCTGGGCTGCGACCTCCCCTGCGGTTCTGGGTGGAGGATGGCACACTGCAGAGGGCCCGGGCACCACAGAGGACGGTGGCTCTGCCTGCTGCGGGGTGGCGAGGGGCAACTCCACATTCATTAAATGCCAGGCCTCCCCCTTGAAAGAGTGGAGCTTCAGGGTATGTGATCCCAGCACGCACACACCCCCATACACACACGCACCCTCAGCACACACCCACACACAGCCCCCCGGAAATCGACACACACTCCCATGCACCTAGACAGACGCAAACCCAGACACGCACACACACACACGCACACACACCTAGACAGACGCAAACCCAGACACATACACACGCACACGCACCTAGACGCAAACCCAGACACGCGCACACACACACGCACACACACCTAGACAGACGCAAACCCAGACACATATACACGCACACACACCTAGACAGACGCAAACCCAGACACACACACACACACACGCACCTAGACAGACGCAAACCCAGACACACACACACACACACACCCACGCACGCACTGACCGAGATGTTGCAGACCGCATAGAAGCGGAAGGGAAGGGGCCTCTGGAAACGGCGTGTGGGGTGGGGACGGCGAGGCTGCAGACAGAAACGGTGTGAGACCTGCTCCCTCAGGCGTTTCTTGTGGAGGGCGAGTTAATCCAGGACTGCCTTCCCTGTGCCTGGGGTGACCCACACACACCCCACGCACGCACTGACCGAGATGTTGCAGACCGCGTAGAAGCGGAAGGGAAGGGGCCTCTGGAAACGGCGTGTGGGGTGGGGACGGCGAGGCTGCAGACAGAAACGGTGTGAGACCTGCTCCCTCAGGCGTTTCTTGTGGAGGGCGAGTTAATCCAGGACTGCCTTCCCTGTGCCTGGGGTGACCAAGAAGTGGACGTGGGACTCAGCTGTCTTGTCGTTGGACAGGGAGCTGCAGCAGGAAGGAAGCCTGCAGGGACCCTGGGGTTCAGGGTCAGAGATACCCACGCGCGTGGGCTTGTGCTTCCCTCGGTGGGCACAGATGGATAGCTGTGTGCGCACGAGTTCACAAGCACGCACGAGGGCCTAGACACAGGACACCCGGAGCCGTGAACAAACCTGGTGCCCGGCTTGTGGTTTCTGATAGGACTTTGCGACAAAATGAACCAGGGCTCCTTAGAGAAGCGGCTTCTCCTAGGGTCGGTGCAGGGGAAATAAAGGACGGTACGGGAGCTGCTTGTGGTGGCAGAGAGGACGAGGTCAGCACCAAGGGTGGGGGCGTGCGCAGGGACACGCAGCTGTTCTGAAAGCCACAGCTGGAAGGAGAGTGTGAAAACATTATCTGTGGGTCCACGAGCTGTAGATGAGTAAATGGACAGATGGGAAGAAGAGACAAACGTCCCCAGTGGCACCTGTCGATGCCCACCCCCAGGAAGTGGAGCTTAGCCTGCCCCCCCCGCCCACGCCCCTGCTTGTGGACTGGGCTTGGTGACGCACTCCCAACAGCAGAATAGGGACAGGGCCGAGAGACTTCACAGCTCGAAAGCCTGGCAGACCCACCTCAGCCGGTGGTCAAGGCCGATGTCACCAGTGATCGTCTTGGTGGTAGCGCACACATCCTGATACGACATGACAAGAAGGGTACCCCCCCTCTGTGGGGTTCTCCCCAAAACTCATCATCCGGTCTGATCATTAGAAAAGCGCCACAAAAACCCAGACTGGGGGACGCGCCATGAAATGCCGGATATGGGACAGTTGAGGTCTTGAGGAACAAGACCAGGCGGAGGAGCCTGGGGGACACAGTGACAGGGACAGTGGTGCCCACACAGGGCCCTAGGGTGGGGAGGGGCCTGAGTGGGAAAGCCGGTTCGATCCAGTTCACAGCAGCGCCCCAGAACCCGAGCCTGAGTTGTGACACGTGCGCCGTGGGAACACGGGCTGGCGTGGGGGCTGGGCGAGGGCGTGCCTGCAGTCTGTGCTGCCTTTGCAGCAGGTCCGGGGAAAGCTGTTTAAAAATGTGACAGGCTGCTCACGAAGTGTGGCTTAAGGGGGCTACGCCCCTTATTCCAACAGTGGACAGTGGAGCGAGAGGAACATGCGTGACGAAGTGCGCTTTGGCCTCGTGACCCCTGAGTTAAGCTGACTAAATTTTAAGACACGTTTAAAAAGTGTGCTTATACTGAAAAGCTGGAGCATTTCTTGCTGATTTTTGACTTTTTCTATTATCGTTCCTTAAATTATGAAAGCGATTATTGACGTTATTCATGTTTTAATAATTTGCTCGGAAACCTTATTAATGATAGTTGTAGAGCAAGAACTCGGAATGTTTGAGTTGTCTAAACGTGGAATGACAGTCGGTTACCGTCGAGCCACACACATGTTTGGCCGTTTATTACAGATCAACATCCTCAGGGCCGCTGTTAACAAGCTCGTGTGCGACGGGCCAAACGGGCTGAAGTTCCTCGGGCCGGAGAGGATCGCACAGCTGCAGGACAACTCTCGTCAGAAGCTTCTGGGGTAAGCCGTGCAGTGACACAGGCCTCGTTCCTTCCCCGCCAGCTTTCGTGGCTGTCGGGACTGGGAATGTTCAGGAGATGCGACAGGTTGGTCCCCTGAAGTGAAATTCCAGTGTCGGAGGCCACTGGACACCATCTAAGTGGTGTTGGGACGTGGGCCCCAGCTTCCTGTGGAGAGCCTACAACTCTGTCCCGTGTCAGAGTCCAGGCAGGCCATTGTAGGCACACTCAAACTGGGTGATTTGAGAAAAATTTAACAAAGGGACCCTTTCCGGCTGCACGGGCAGGGCTTCGGGCAGCCCTATGGGGAGTGCTTGTGGGACCCGACTGGCCAGAGGCAGGGGGCTGGGTGGCGAGGACCACCTTACCCTGTTGAGCCTCCCCCGGGAGGAGGGCTGGGGATGAGCACCCTGCCCCCTTCCTCGCGCGCAGCAGCCTTGCTGGCCGATGGAGGCCAGGAGGGCAGCGGCGGTGGAGGAGCAGGCGGCCCATAGCACGCCCAGGCCGGCGGCAGGCCCGTCCTTGCCTGAGACCCCAGACGGCGTCTGTGTGCGAGCAGGGGCTCCGGCACCGTGCGACTGTCCGCTCCCGCCCAGCCCCCTGTGCGCGGTTTCTCGTAGCTGTGTGATCACTTTAAAAGGGAATTAAATACTCAGAGCCATGTTAGCGGTGGTGAGAAAGCCTAACGTTGGTTTCTGAGCCTCGCTTTTTTCCATAAAAATATTTCTGCATGAACTTTGTGTTGGACTTTGACACACATGAGGTGTCCCAGGCCATGTCGGCGAATGTGTCCCATGGGCCGGCACCTAGATCAGAATTGCAATACAAAATGTCCAATGTGCTTAAAACCTAACGCTGTCCCTACCTGGTCACGGCTGCTCACGAGCAGATGGCGGACAGGACCTGGCTCCGCGCACGGAGCTCAGGGGCGGGCAGCCGCCGGCCGTGGGGGGACGTGGGCAAGGAGCTGCTTCTCCCCATCGTCCCCTCTGGTCTTGAATGCACAGTGGGTTCACAGGTGCCCTGGTCACACCCTGTACGTTTTGACCTTTTGAGAGTCGTGGTCCCAGTTTTGAGGGGAGGTACGTAGGGTTTGAATCTTCGAAGACTCCGGTCGCGCTTTCAGCGACTAACTTATCGTTAAGAGGTTGTAATTTTCTTTTTAACTTTAGTTTGTTCTGTCAGCTGAAGCCGAGAGAGAGAATCGTTCCCAAGTGGCATGAAAAGCCGTACGAGTGGGACCAGGTGAGTGAGAACCAGGACGCGGCGTGAGCGGCCGTCCACCGGGACCGGGGGAGCAGGCCACCGATGGACCCAGGGCTCGGAGTGGCTCGCGGAGGGTGCCGCCAGCAGGGCACTGGAGGGAAGGGCTGGCGCTGCTGGGTGCCAGGCCCGCCCCGTCACTCTGTGTGACACCCTGGCGGGAAGGCAGAGCCCGGGCTCGCTGGCCTGTGAGTGTGGGTAGAAGAGGTGAGGGTGTCTGGATCAGCCCTTGGGGGGCCCTGGCTGCTGTCTTAGTGTGCCCGGCCTGTCGCGGCAGTATCCCGACTGGGCAGCTTAAACAGCAGACATGTCTCTTCTCTTAGTTCAGAGGCTGGAAGTCGGGGATCAGGGGCCAGCATGGTCGGAGGCTGTGAGGACCCTCTCCCTGGCCGGTAGACGCCCCTTCCTGCTGTGTCCTCCCCCGGCAGAGAGCAGAGGGCGCTCCCATCTCCCCCTCTCACAGGGCGCAGACCCGTCCGCGTCTAACCCAGAGGGCCTCCCGGAGGCCCCACTGCTAACTCCTTTCCCTGGGGGTCAGGGTGGCAGCGTAGGACCTGGGACACGGTTCAGGGCACAGCCGTGGTGAGCAGAGCAGGGCCCGTCAGGTCTGGGAGGTGTAGGAAACGTGATTTCAGCGAAAGGGCTCTGGGAGGAACGTCGAGCTTAGACTCTAGAGCCAGGGATTTTTTGTAAACAAACCCGGGGGTGGGCAGCCCCCTCCCACAGTGTGAGTGAGAAGACCCCGCCCCTGGGGGTCGAGTGTCTGCCACCCCAGAGTCTGCAGGCTGCTCCCCTGCCTCTCTGTGTCCTCTGGCTGGAGCTGGAGCCCGCGCCCCGTCCTCACCTGCACGCTCCCCAGGGCGTGTGACGCCCATAGTAAGACTTAGGTCGAAAGCAGAAGCGTGGGGTTGCCGTGTTGTAGAAGACTTGACCTGTAAAGCCTGCCCTGAGGTGACCACGGGCACGTAGAGAGGGATGCGGGGGGTCACCGCGGGGAGCCCCGTACTTGGGGTGGGTTTGAAGGCGCATCGCCAGGTGCGCAGCGCCAAGGGCTGTGAGCAGCGGGCATCCCGCAAACACGTGGAAAATGAGCCACGTCTGCTGCGTCCCACATGTGCACGAGCTCATCTACCAGCGCCACTCCTGTGCCGTGCGGGCCGGGCCCGTTGCCGAGCCTGACGGCCCTGTCTTCCCCGCCAGGTCGACCCGAAGCTGGTCATGGAGCAGGCGGACCCGGAGGGTGGCAGCGGAAAGAGCACCCTCCTGTACCAGCTCCACAGGCTGATTGTCCTCAGCCCCTAGGTGGCCACCCCGGGGTGCTCCTGCCCCAGGAGAAGCCCCAGGGGGTCGGAGCACCGCAAAGACTGCCCGCCCCTGTCCCAGCGCCCCCAGGGGCCGCCACCCTGCTCCTGTTCTCTTGGTGGCGGTGGGAGGGTTGGGAAACCTAGGCTTTCTAGAAACAAGATCAGTGCATTAAATGCCTGGGGGAGACGGCCTGAGAGAGGGCTGCTCGGGAAGAGCCGCGTGTCGCTCGAGCCTCATTTGGGTAGGTCCCAGGGGCCGGTCTGCGTGTCAGGTCCCAGCGTGTGCTCGCGTGTGCTCGCACGTGCTGTCCTGCCTCGGTGACGAGCCCGGGCGTGCGGAGGACAGGACTCGACTTCCCCACAAGGCACAAGTTGCATTTTTTTCAAAACCGTGTGAGTTTTTTTTTTCCATGAGGGAAAATATCTAATTTTGGTAAACTAGCTTCAGTTTTGTATATTTTAGGTTTTTACTTAAGTTGCAATTTTTAGTTCACATTTTGGAAATTGGAGCGATTGCCTGGCAACGAATATATCTGTTAAGACAATAAAAGCATCAGACTAGGTTTCTATTTCTGAGTGTTTATCCTAAAAAAAAACCCGTGCCGGCTCCAGGGCTGGGATCTGCCCTGCAGCGTGGAAGGAAGCACCGTCCCGACCCCACGGCTTGCCCGTTGCTGTGCGGGCTGAGGGGGGTGAGCGTGGGGGGCGGTGGGGGCAGCAGCAGGGGGAGCCGTCCTGGGCCGCCCAGCTCTGCGAACCAGCCCCACGCGGGGTCACAGAAGCGGCTCCAGGCGAGTTCCACACGGGACCCACTCTGAGGCTCCTCCGGTGCCGCCCTCAGGAGGCGCTGGGCCTCGCACCCGTGTTCCCGGCCTCCGCCTTGCTCCGCAGTCCCCACGAGGGACGAGGCTGCACTGCAGCTGGCCCGTTTACCAAGACAGGTGTCAGCCGCGGCCTGCGGCCTGCGGGCCCTGTGGTAGCGGCGCGGGCAGGGGGGTGACAGGGACACTGCCTCCAGACGGTGGCTGGCGAGGGCCCTTCTGACGAGGGCTCAGAGCGGAGACCTGAAGCGTAACAGCTCCGCGGCGCCGACGGCAGACAGAAGCCAGGCGCCGGGCGGAGGGGCAGACTGGACGTGCGCCGGAGGGGAGCAGACAGGACGTGCAGGTCGGGTTCGGTAAGTCACAGGGAGTTCTTGTGGTGCCGATGTAGTGGCCCGAACGGTGGTCCCCCCAAGAGCTAGGTCGGCGTCCTGACCCCCGAGCCCCCTGTCCATGGGACCGCACTTGAGAAAGAGGCCGTTGCCGGTGCGATCTCATGAAGGACCTGGAGATGAGGTCATCACCCTGGATTTAGGGTGGGCCCCAACGCTGGTGTCAAGTGTCCTTAGACACAAAGGACACGAGAGAAGAGGCCATGTGAAGATGTGAAGACTGAGGCAGAACTCAGAGTGACGTGGACACAGACCAAGGACGCCCGGGGCCACCAGAAGCCGGGAGAAGCCGGGAGGGACCCTTCCCTGGAGCCTTCGGAGAGCCCAGGGTCACATTGACACCCAGGATGGTGACGGAGGCGCTTCTGCTGCTTTAGCCCCCAGCTCGAGGCCATGTGGCAGTGGCCCCAGGAGACGAACCCACATCTTCCACGTCCTTCCCGCCTGTGCCGCACACGCGTGGGCACGGGTGGTTTCACTCAGGCGTGCGTGCCACGGATGCCGATCTGTGTGTTAAGACTTTCACTTAACACTTGCAGGTCACGTTTCGAGGTCACTACAGAGTTGCCTCGCGCGTCGTAAGTGCTTCGTCGCGTGTGACTCTTGATGTCGCATCACTGACCTTATTTCCTCACAGTGGAGGTTTGGATGGGTCCGGTCTTGCTGTCGAGTGCAGCATCGCAGTGAGTGTCCTCGTGCATCTGTCTGACGTCACAGAATAAACTGGAATTGGAATTGCTACGTGAGTGGCTCACGCAAGGGCATTGCGGGGGCTTTCCATCCGGGAGGCACCTGTCCACAGAGCGCCTGCCCCCTGCACCCCTGCCTCCCCGCAACCC